ACGGCCACCGCCACCCGCTGCGGGCCCATGGCCACCACCAGCCTGAGCCGGTCAACAGAGCCCAGCTCCACGGCAACGGCAATGCCAAACACCAACACCCCCCCACCCCCCCCGCATTTCTAAGCACTTCCCAAGTGTAACGTAAGCTGGTTTCAACCCTGTGGGAAGGTGGGAAATGCTCTGATTTCTGTTTTCCCCTGAAGGAAGGAAAACCAGATTAGAGGGAAGTGGGTAGCAGTGCAGAGGACTGAACCCAGCTCTTCCCAGAGCTCATGTCAGATGCTGTCAGAACAGGATCATTATCTTGTTGCTAACAGTGGCTAATAGCAGATGCCCAGCAAGAAGCGGTAAGAATCAGCAAACATGACAGCAGCACTTCCCCGTTACTCTCCCAGCCTCCGGTGAGCCACTTGCTCAAGGATTTCCTGGTATCTTTGTGTTTAATTCCCCTCGGTGGCTCTTTTTCATGTGAATTTCTTTGCTTTTCAGACAAATATAAAAATCCAGCACCCCCCCAACCCTGCGGCAATGAGATTTGCAGCTTAATTACACCCTGTGTAAAGTCTGCATCTACTTTTGACGCAGAAACTCCTACCCGTGGCTGTGGTTGCTGGGCACTGCTGAGCCATCATTCCCCCCGGCAGCCAGGACAGAGGGATACAGGGCATGGAGGGAGCGCTTCCAGAGGGGTCGGCGGCTCCCGCAGCAAAGCTTTGTGCCACCCCGGCAGCTTTGCTCCCGTTCGGCTGACGCAGCACGTGCAAAAGCGGTTCTGTGGGATGGCTGTAGGTTCAGCACAGGCTGCCCTCAGCACGGCTGGGTCGCGTTGCAGCTCACCTCTGAGCAAGGTGAATTTTAGGAAACAGCTGTGTTAGAAGTGACAAAATTGAATTGTATGTCACGTCAAAAGTTTGCCTAATTTTTCATGACATCATGAAGCAACGCAACAATTGTCACATCCCCAGGAAAAAAATGCATCTTTAGCATGTAAAAATCCTACTGCAGATGAGACAGTTGTGATTTTCCTGCAGAACAAACCTGTGTTAAATACAATAAAAATTAATACAATTTTTCATCTTATTAACAATGCGCACTTTTTTTTTCTTGCAATAGTATATTCAGGTGGCTTTATAAAGTGCTAGATTGGTACATAACCACAGAGTCGGAAGCTAAAAGCCTGAAGCCTGCAGGCTCTCAACTAGGTGTTTCTGAACTTCCCCTGCCTGTAAAAAATTCAGACTGAGAAAGCAAGCACAGGTTGCAGAAGAGCTCCCCAACGCAGCCCTGAATTTTCTCCGGTCCATGTGTGGCTCAGTGACATTTCCTCACAGTGCTTCATTAGGGCAACACTTTTGTAACTGTTTTGTTGGGCTTTGCAGCGATGTTGGGTTTGAAGGGCTCCATCCTTGCAGTATCAAAGACTGCAAAGACGATCAGATTCTGAAGGCTTAGCTACCACAGCTGCACCCTCGCCTGAAAGACCCGTGCGCAAGATGTTATAATTTCGTGTTATGATTTTGTTCTGCTGAAAAAGAAAATTGAGGGAGGTGCAACAGTTTGGACACCGGGACATATAAAAAACCCTACGGTAGACAAGGCAGTTTTAATTTACACAGGGGTCCTGGATGGCAGCAGACGAGCCGAGGTGCGACTGTCGCTAACCGCAGCAAGCAGCGTGTGCAACTGCAGCTACGTCTTGTAGGCTGTGAGCGTGCGATGCAAAGGAAAGCCCTTCCCTTCCTCCTCCCCGGGGCCAACACGACGGCTGCAGCCTGCGACAAGCAGAACCTAGTTTAGTAGCCAGACCACATGGCTTCTGCTATAGACAAAAAAGTCTATAGCAGCCTTATATAAATTCAGGAAGAGAAGCAGCGTAGCCAGAGTCAAATACAGAACCAGTAACACTTCAGAAAATACTCCCTTCACTACCTGTTTTTCTCTATATCCATATTTTTAGCTTGATACAGATTAATACAACTGAAGTTTATCTGGCCTCTTAAAATGCCTCTTTCCTCCTTTTTGTGCTACAAAATATAATTATTAAGACCAGAGCAATCCACTGCATGTGATTTTCAAAAAAAAGACTGATATGTGCATTTGCTGTGTGTGCTTAAATTTGCACACAAATTCTGTTCCTGAAACATTCTGCCCATGCATATGAATGGCTCCTGTTATTCCTTTTTCTTTAAAAAAAATAAAATATTTAGCTGGAGGTTTTTTTACTGATAATTTCTAGGCGTGGAAATTCTTGCTGTCATGGTGGGCAAGAAAGGGAATTAACTGTAAATGTGTTGCTAATAGTCAACTAATAGTCAAAGCCAAGAAGAAAAGTAACAACTCACCAAACAAGCGTAATACTACTAGCTGTACAGAAAAGCAACAGTTAGCCAAACCAGCTTAATATTATTAACCAACAAGCTAGTAATATCACGAGCTGCACAGGACTGTTTTCTGCAAATTTATGATGGGCTTTTTTAAAAAAAAGAGAGCAAGCCAAGAGCCACCGATTACTTGCTGTCTCTATCCACTCAGGCTTTCATTTCTCTCCTTCTTTCTGCATCACTTTGCAATTCAGCGACATTAAGATCTATTCAACAGGTCTAATTATCAAAATTATATATATCAAAATCTTAAACTGGATGATTGTTATTCATTTCAGCCTCTTTCTGCTACCTGCTCATGGTGGTACGATGTTGTTCTGCAAGCTTGTTCATATTTCTTAGATGAGCATAAATGTTTTGCTGGCGTTAAAGAGTTAGACAGGAGTTTGCTGGTATTGCTGTGCTCCGCCAGCTGCGGCAGACGTGCCGGGAGAGAGCGGCGATTACCGTGAAGAGAAGTATGGAAAGCACAAGAAGCTGTACAGCACATTTAAACAATGATACCAAAACCTTTTCAAAGGCCGGGCAGCTAATGTTGTGGGAAACATGAAGTCCTTTGAAACGCGAACACGTGCCCCGACACGAGCGTTCTGCTTCTGCGGGGTTGTCGGAGGGTTTCCTTGCTCCAAACCTCTCCACCTGCTGCAGCTGCGGCCATTTCAGTTCCTTTCAGTCCAAGATAGCATCTGAAAGAGACTCAGAAAGAGAACAGAAAGGCAGATTGGAATAATTACATAAACCCAACATTTGAGAGAGAGCCCCCACATGAAGGTACTCGGACAGGAGAGCTGACAGGGGTCACCCAGTGACATTTTGGTGAAGGGTGAGTCAACCGACTATAGCGTCGCCCTGCTGAAAGCTGTGTAAGGACTAATGCCCTGCTTGTTGGAGACGCAAATGCCAAGCAACTTCAC